TAATTCAATTACTTATCTTTACATCCCCTGCAGTGCCCGGAATAAAGTAGTGGCTAATAGATGTGTGTTGGACTGAACTTCTCATTTCTGTATCCTCAACAGTGCCAAGCATATCGTCTTATACATAGTTGGCATTAATAAGTAGGTAGAGTTGAACTGGGCATGAAAGCCCTGTGAAATCTTGCTGTCCACTGGTCAGGTTGTGATACTGGTGGGAAGGGGTCTGTTGCCCCCAACATTAAGAGATTTTCTAGTCTAACTCTTTTGTCTCAAAACTCACTCTCTTGTTGGTTTCATCTAGCCTTCACCTTTAAGTTCCTTCTCTCTGCTGACGACTTTCAAAATTGTGTCTCTGACTGTTCGTGCTCCTGACCTCCAGACAGAGACCCAACTCTCCCCTTGACGATTCCACTTGGATTTCTAGTAGACATCTCAATCTTGACATGCCCAAGAGTTTTAATTTTGCACGGTAATCTTGCTCTTCCTGGAGCATTCCCCATCTCGGCAGCTCCATCCATCCAGTTGCTCAGGCCACACAGGTCAACATCATCCTTGCCTTCTCTCTCTCACTCCCCAGACCCAGTCCCTCACGAGCCCAGTTGGCTCTACCTTCAACATACACCCAGAGTCCCATACCTTCTCCCCTCCTACACTGGTCTGCGTCAGCATTACCTTTGCCAGCATGATCGCAGCTGCCTCCTCACTGATCTCCCTACTTCCAACCTTGTCACTTACAGTCCATTTTCAACACGGTGGCCAACAAGTCAGCCTTGAAAAGTACAAGCTGGATCACATCACTCATTGACTCTGTATCTCACTCAGAGTACAACAGAAATCCTTTCAATGGTTACCATGTCCTACATGATCCAGTTTCCAGTATCTCTTTCGATCTCAATGGACACTCCCCACCTCACTTACTCCTCTCTTCACCCACACTGACCCCTTGCTATTCCTCAAACATGACAAACACACTATGCCTCAGAACCTTTGCACTTGCTGTTCCCTCTGCCTGTACATTCTTCCTCCAGCTTAGTGATTCTCCAAGTGTGGTCCCTGAGCCAACAACAGCAGCATCACCATGGAATTTATTAAAAATGCAAACATTTCTAATAGCCAGACCTGCTGAATCAGAAACCCTGGGGGGAAAGGGCATCAATCTGCATTTTAGCAAGCCCTCCAAGTAATGTGGATGCACAATCAAGTATGAGAACCACTGTTTCACATAGCTCCTTGGTTCCTTCAGATCTTTGTTCAAATGTCCTCTTTTGTAAACAAAGGCCCTCCCTGACTCCTCTATCTAAAATAGCACTCCCCCAGTATAATGCCAATTTCCCTTGGTTTCACAGCACTTACACCACAGGGACTATAACATACTGGCTTGTATATTTCTTTCCTGTCTGTCTCTCTGCGCTGCACATAGGCTTCCTAAGAATCCCCAATGCCTGGAACAGTGCCTGACACAGAGTAGACAGTAAATATCTGTTGCGTGAATGAACCCCTTCAATGCTTCGAAGGGAACTTGGTGCCTAGAGAGAGGCAGGGACTCATCCAAGGTTGTGTAGGGAGCCAGGCCTCCTGACTGTCAGCTGCAGGACCTGCTTCGCTGCATTAGGCTCAGCTTGGTTGGCGTGCCCCTCCTCAGAAGCGTGGCTCATCGGAGGCCCCCGGCACACTTCCCTTCCTTTTTAAGCTGTGAGTGGTTTAATTTGCGAGCACTGCTGCCTTTCATGTCCCAAGCTGTGTCCCTGCTCCCTCTGATCTCCGAAGCTGCCCAGACCCTGGTGCCGCCTGTCGGCCCCACCCTCCTCAGCCCAGATCAGGAGGCTCAGTCATTGTGACTGATTTTCAAAGCTGCCTGGAGTCTCCGCAAGTACCCCGGTGTCAGATTTGCTTCCTCTTCAAAAAGTTGCTTAAATGAAATAAACTAATTTAATTTCTGCTTCCTCCCTCCCCCTTCCTGGGTTCCTTGGCTTGTCCGAGTTGAATCCAATGCCTCTTTCCTGAGCTGAATGTCAGAGTCAGTAGGCTGGGAGAGGGAGGTGAGGCAGGGCAGGAGCTCCTCAGGCTGACTGATACTCATGAACCTGGGGGCTGGCTCTGCCTCCTACAATCTGGGTGACCTTGAATGTATCCTTGCCCTTCTCTTGGCCTCAGTTCCCCCAAGTGTGATGCAAGGACTCTTGCCACTCCAACAGTCTAGGAGCCAAGCCTTGACTTGCTCAGTCACTGACTTGCTATGTGACGGTGGGCACATTTTCTCCCCTCTGAGCCTCAGTGTTCCCATCTGTTCAATGGGGATGCCACCATCAGTCCCACCACCTCTCAGAGTTGAAGTGGGAGTGAAGTGATGGACGAACACCTGGCGGGTACCTCCCTCTGGAGTCCCCTGTCCCCACCTTTTCTCCAAACTGTAGTAGAGGGAGCTTTCTAAAATGCACCTCAGGACCTTTGCACTTGGTTGGCTCCCTTGCTTAAGCCTTTCCCAGATTCCATGCTTCCCTCAAGTCCTTTGGGTATGGCTCTTGCTTCCTTCTCCAGCCTCATCTCGTGTCACCTTTCTGGCCTTTTCCATGTGGAAAAGGTCCATTTCGGATGAAGAGACACAGGGCCAGGGTTTGAATCAGTGAGTAGGGGCTGATGGACGGGGGGACGTCAGGGGCTTGAGCTGCCCCTGACTTGCTGTGTGACCTTGGACACATCACCGCCTCTCTGAGCCTCAGTTTCCCCCATTTGCAAAACTGATTTCTAAGTAATCACTAGGCTCTGAAAGTCCGTGGGTCTTTGCTACTGACAACTTCCAATGATGTCTCCGCTGAACCTGTATATTGAAGTGCCTTTTGCAAGATCTCCACTTGGCTGTCTAATAAGTATTTCCAACTTAGCACAACTGAAACGAAACTCCTGATTTCCCTCCATCCCCAGATCTGCTGTTCCTCCCATCTCAGCAAATGGAAATCCCATCTACTTAATTGTCCAGGTCAACACCTCGGTAGCCAACCCTGAATCGTCATTTCTCTCACACCCCACATCCCATCCATTAGCAAATGCTTTCAGCTCTACTTTTAAAATATATCCCAAAGTCGACCTCTTCTCGCTACCCTTCCTGGCCCCACCTTGTTCCAAGCCACCATCATTTCCCACCTAGGTAATTACAATATACTCCTCTGCTTCTGTCCTTGCCCCATACCTCAACCCCACCACCATCTGATCTTCACAGAACAGCATGGGATCCTGTTAAAACTAAGTCGGACCATGTCACTTTTCTGAACAAGCCTCTTCGCTGACTGTCCAGCTTGCTCAGCGTAAAAAGCAAAGCCCTGACCATGCTCCCCAGGGCTGCACAATCTGATCGCCTCTCCACTTCTCCTTGGAGCCTTTGCAGGTACTGTTCCCTCTGCCTGGAATGCTCTTCCCCCAGGGCCCACCATTCACTTTCTTCAGGTCTCCACTTCAATGTCACCTCCTCAGAGAAGCCTTCCCAGCCCAACGATTTGCTTGTTTACTCGCTTACTGCCTGTCTTCCTCAGCCAGAAAGTACCCTTCTGGGGAGGGAGGCTTGTCTGTCTCTTCAATGCCACGTTCTCAGTGCCCAGCACATAGTAGGTCTTCCTACGCACTTGTCAAATGAATAAACGGATACACTCAAATAGACACATAGCATGTCATATGCATGCACAGGCCTTAAAGTGCCGTTTGACTAGCCATGTACATGCACACGCATGTGTGAACGCATATGCGCACCAGGCAGACGTGTGCACCTGTGCGTGTGTGTGCACCAGCCTGCACCCACATCCCTGCCCTCACTGTTCCCTGTCCTCCCACTGTCCTTCTGTGCCCACCCGTATCTCTGGTCCACTTCCTCCTCTCCATCACTGGCTGCCGGCTCTCTACCCACCAATATGCCAGATTTAGTCCAATCTGGGGACGCGGGGGCTGACTGTACCCTCTCCCACGAGCTCAGACACCCCCTGTCTCTGACATGCACTAGTTGGACTGGAAGGCCCAGAGAGGGGCAGCCCTGAGCCCTTGACCAGGTGCCTGGGCTAACCCCGTGTGGAAGAAGATGGCTGTGCCCCTTGGCCATGACTCCGGCTTCTCCCAGGAGCCCCGGGCTAAGTGGGCCCCACCGTGGGAGCGGGCATATTCATCCAACCTTTTGCTTCAGTGTCCCGCTGCTATGTTGGGGTGAGCTTCAGAGTATGGCCTCGCCTGAGGTCTTCTTGCACGTGGGGGTTCTGGTGTGTGGGCTCCTGGTTTACCTGTACCACGGCGCGTCCCCAGTGCCCCTGCACACTAGCGGCCGTACCCAACTACATGCAGCTGACCTGCGTCTGGGGCTCAGCCGTCTCTGTGAAGCTGTGTTCCCAGGGGGCTGGGCCTTGGGGTGCTGGGGTCCCCCCGGGGCAGGGAATGAAGCTGCCTGGATGCTGTTGCCTCTGTGACTGCTCATCCCTTTTGTGGCTACACTCTGGTGAAGCCTGGCCCCGGGCAGGTCACGTCTGTTGGTGGCTTTGGGCTGTGGCTACGTAGGTGGCTGTGTCTGTCCATAAGCTCCATCTGTGTGCGGGGCTGTTTCCCGAGGGGCGTCGTATGAGGCTCTGTTGGGTGTGAGGCCATGTCTGGTTGTGTGCTTGGGCCTCGTTCCAGCTGTGTTCCACTCTGGTTCTTTCCAGGTGTAGGCGTGCCCGTGTTCAGTTGTGCCTGCGCCTGTGTGGGGCTGGGCCTGTGGGGATGACCATGTCCAAGGGTGTTGCTATGGCCACCGGAGGTCCATGTCCACGTGGGGATGGTGTCCATGTATGTGTCTGAGGTCATGTGTGCAGCCGTGACTGTGTCATCACTATGCCTGAGCCTGTGTGGGCACCTGGGCTCATGCCTGTACCCCCTGCCTGGGGCAGCCCCTCCTGTCTCTCTGGCCTCTCCCCAGATTATCAGCCAGTCCCCACTGCAGGCTCTCACTCAGGACCCGGCGGCTCCCCTCACCCCAGCCCGCCGCCCACCTGTGGGTGAGAGTTCGGCCACACTTCCAATGTAGGGGCCATGCAGGAAACGGGGCTCGCTGTCGTTGATGTCCTGCACCTTGATGATGAACTCCGATTCGGGCTCTAGCAGGCGGTTGGTGGCACGATCCCGAGCCTGAGCCCGCAGTGTGTAGAAAGTTTTCTGCTCCCGGTCCAGGCGCTCCATGGCATGGATGTCTCCCGTCAGCTCATCGATCAGGAAGATGGTCCCGGCGCCCTCGCCTGAGATGGTGTACTTGATGGCCCCGTCACCCTCGTCGGAGTCCGAGTGGATCTGGGGAGGCAGGGAGGAAAGTCAGTGGGTCCGGGGCAGGGCCTTGGAGTTTGCATTTCTATCAAGCTTCCAAATGGCTGTCTCTGACCCTACTCTGAGTTATGGGTCCAACCCCAGCCCCCAGACTCTGAGCTTGGTGGGGACAGGGAGTGAAGGGAGCAGGGAGGAAAGGCACATTGAAGGAGCACCCGCTCCATGCCAGGCGCTGTGCTAAGCCATTCACGGACTTATCTATAGTTGAAAGTCTACAGAGGGCACTAGCACCTGCCTGGCACACGGGACACGTGCAATCTACCAGCCAGCCCAGCAGGGGCATTGCCACAGAGGCATACCGCAGCAGGACCCTGGCCAGGCCAGGCAGGACCCTCCGGCTGCTGGATCACGGAGAGAGGTCGGAGGAACTGAGGGAACTGGGGTGAGGGAGAGGAGAAAGACGATTTACCACGGCAGGAGGGGAAGCCTTTTCACTATCTTAACAACTGGCACAATGACACTGGTATGTACTAGTTGAAAATCAGCCCTGCCTGAGACATAGTAAGTGTCCAATAAATGGTAGCTATCGTTACTATTATGTTATTTACTAAATGTTAGCTATATATAACTGAGATTTTATCCAGCCACCAACAGGCTCCAAATCCCCGGCTGTTTTCACTGAACTGAGATCTCTTAGGTGAGAAAGCAGTAGCAAGACTGTTCTCCCAAACAGAAACACCTAGGTCCTGATCCTCTGATGCCCAAATTTCTGAGGCGGCTCTAAGCAGAGGGAAAAGCGTCCAATGAAGCTGGTGACCTTGGGTGGGTCCCTGCTCCACTCTAAGCTTCCGTAGAGATGGAGTGTGAGTGACAGAATCCCTAAGGCCCCTTTCAGGCCAGGATGCCACATACCCCAGCCCACTCAGCAGGACAACAGGTGCCAATGAAGTCGTCACGAAGGGGGATGAAAGCCCACCCACCCCTTGCCACGCAGGAGGAGGTTGGGTATAAATTCTGCTGGTGGAACTCTGTGTCTGAAAGGTGGATTATAGAAGTGCCATTTGGAAGATTGAATGGCCCATAAACATTTTCATATTTCATTAGCCGATTAATGGGCATCTCTCTCTTTTTGGCGAGTCTGCTGATTCTCAGCAGAAATTGCGGGGAGTAAATGGAGGCGTCTGGTGGAACCTTCCCGGGTCCCCGTCCTGTTATAGATTGCCCCAATTAATGCCCGTTCTGGGCTCCACTGAGAAGACTTCTTCCTGTCCAGTTACTGTTAATAGATTTCTCATAAGTGGCTGGATTGTAAAAACCTCATAACTCAGTTTAATGCCCCTAATAAAATTATCTCAGGACGTCAGCCCTGAATCATTGGCAATGCTGCAGATGAGGAGACCTGTCTCTCCTGTTTGCTGTTTATGCTTTCCCTCCACCTTGGCCCAGGGGGCGTGGGGAGAGGAGAGGGTGAACTTGCTCCCTCTTCCAGTGCCTCCACCCACTTTCCAATCAGACCTGGCGTCTGCTTACACAGTCAGCAAACACCGCCAAGCCATGGTGGGATAGACACCACGTGGGGGGACGCTTAACAGCGATAATCTTATCAGTTTTCATCTCTGCCCTATGAAACATTATTCTTCCCATTTCTCAGATGAGAAAATGGAAATGCAGAGAGGGGAGGTCACCTGCTGCGTCACACAGCTGAGTTCGGGAAGCCAATCTCCTGATCCCATCACTCACTAATGTTGTGATCATGGGCTTGTTCATTTTTCCTTTCTGTTTTCCCACCTGAGAAATCAGATCAAGCCCTCCCCGGCACAGGTATGGTGAGGATTCAATGAGAGCATGTTTGTAATGGCCTGAACACTCGGTAAGCCATTGTTGCCTTCCCTTTCTGTCCCCCTGGGTCTCTATCACGTCCCTGCAGACCTTACATGTGAACTCAGACCCGGGACTGGGATCACTCGCGAGTGAGGAGCAGGGAGGAGGGAGTGGAAGACAGCGGTGATGTCACCAATGTTCTTCTTCCGTGAAGGATGACATAGTGCTCATGCGGTGGCCCAGTGGCCACTCTCTGGGGACTGCAGAGTCAGACAGAGTTGAACGCCAGGGTGGGGGTGTGGGGGGTGGAGTGGGGATGGAGGTGGGGGCGAGATCTAAGAGCTGCGAGCTGTGGGGCTGGGCGGAGCGGGGGCTGCCTGCCCTGCCCGCGTGGGTCCTGGCTCTGGAATGAAGAGGGGGTGCCTGTGTTTCTACCCCCAGAAGGACATTTCCCAAGACACTCAGCAGTGAGTAGGGGCTGGAGGCCAGCGCTCTTGTTTATGGAGCGCCTACCACGGGCCAGGTGTGTTGTGGGCCTCTGCGGAAATCTAACTGAATGTCGGAGCACACGTGGATGTATCGCCCTTTTCCAGGTGAGGACACTGAGCTAGGCCTACGTCTGTTTGACTCCAAAGTGCAGTTTGTCCCTCTGCAGCCTCTGCAGTCTGTCAGTCTGGCTGGGGGAGAGGCTTGGACACACCTTTTGCCTTGTGCCGGCCACAGTCCCGGGCGGCCTCTTCTACCTGGGCCTCTACTTCATCATTTGGAAAAGGACTGCAAATCCCAAATCAGGAGAGACGATGGGCTTCGGGATCAGGAACAGCTGGGTGCCAGCTTAGGCTTTCCACTGGCCTGTGCCATGGCCCTGAGCCAGAGGCTACCCTTCTCTGAGCCTGTCTTCTCATTTGTAAAGGATACGATATGGCTCCCACGCCTTCTGACGATTCATAAGATAATGTGTGGAAGCTCCTGGCAGGAAGTAGGTGCTCAGTGCAGATCACTGCCCTCTCCTTTTCCCACCCTGGGCTCAGGAGGGTCTGAAGGTCACCCACTTCATGCCCCATCTCCTGACACAAGACCATAGGCTGAAATCCTGACCCCTTGGAGAGACAAGGGTATTGTCTAGTACCTTCTTGTCTTTTAAACTGGGCTTGTCTCCTCCTTCAGGCAGTCCTCTTAGGTCCTCCCCCACTCCCATGTCCTGTGGTTGAAGAGCCTTCGTCCTGCCCCACGCACACTCCCTTCTGCTCCACACTCCCCTGTAACACCTCAGTGTTGCACATCTGTCTCCCCAGCTGTCCTGGGCCTCAGGGGGTGTACTAATTTTGATTCATGCCTGTCTGAACTCCCCATGCCTGGCACACATAGGTGTCCTGAGTAGGCCTGCAGAGAAAATACGGGGGAAGTGAGAAAGAGAGTGTGTGTGTGAGAGTATATACATGTGCAAGTGTGTGAGATGTGAGCTCCTTGAGGACCAAGCATATGGCTGTTTGTTTCCTTCTACCCAGTACCCAGCACAAGGCATGGCACCAAACATATCAAATAAATGAAGAATGAAATATACAACAGTCACTAAAATTCCCCACCTGCCTTCTGGGATTTCTGGAGGATCCAGTCACTGTTAAATCCCAGGTACACATGAGCTAGACTAGAGAGAAGAGTCACTAGACACTCTTCTAGACCCTTTACTGCAACCTCATTGATGTCCCATCAGGAATTTGTGAATCAGAGGTTATTCCCTCCCTGCTGCACAGGTTGGCAAGCTGAGGATCAGAGAGGGCCTACATCTTCTCTAAAGTCACACAGCCATCAAGGGACAATCCTGAAGCCTGATTCCACATCCTGGGTTCTATCCATTGCCATCAAGTGTGGACAGCCCCAGAAGAGATTACCCCTCCTCAGGTCCCAGCCCTGTATCATAAACAACGTGAAAAACACAAGAGTGATGGCTTCTCATCCCGGGGGGAACTGAAAAATGGGATTTACGAGGCCATTAATTACTTCCTCCTAATTAAATCAAAATTAAATGCGAGCAGGGGTACGTTTTCCTTATTAAAGACAATTAAACGGACAGCGCAGCTACGCAAATAAAACGAGTCCAGGATTTAAACGGAAAGCAAATCAAATAAAAAGCTTCCCCCGGAATGAGGGGTCTGTTCACGCCTGTGCTTCTTGTAAACCAGGAGTTCATCAATTTTCTTTAAATATTAGCAACTTAATTAAATCTGCTCTCCTCCCCACTTTAATCCTGCTGTATATCTAAAATAGATCTCACGGCCCACAGGAGTTGGTCATAAGTGCTGACCCCATAATTCTATCCTTTTAAAAAAATTTTAAAATCCTACAAAATCCACATCCAGCTGAAGCCTTGGGGGAAATTACAGTTCAGAAGAGGGATTAGTCAAAGTACCCAGATTGTATGGAAATCTGGGAGGTTGCTTTGAGGGTGGGGGTTGGGGGCAGGTGAGGGGAAGAGGCGGGCCAGGCTGCCCAGGGAGCAGGACCAGGGAGGGAGCCTCGGGTCCTGAGGTTGAGGCGACAACCAGGGGCCGCAGCGGTTCCTGCGGGTGCCGACAGGAGCCTGGCGGTGAGTGATGGAGAAGGCGCTTGTAAAATAGGTTACCGTTGGGCGCCCGGGGTTCACTCGGCGGATGGTGCTGTTGCTAAGCTACCTTTGGAATTCAACAAGGACGGATGCTCCAAGCGGCTCCCTGGGGCGGGGGACCGGGAAGCAGTGAATTCACTGAAACCGTGAAGTCCTTTCTCCCCCAAAGAACGAGAGAGCGTGGTATGAGAGAGAGAGAGAGAGAGTGTGTGTGTGTATGCATGCATGCATGTGTGTACATACAATCGCCTGCACAAAGGTGGGGCTCGGTTGGCAAGGGGACGGGTGGTTTTTAAAAGTCCAAGCTCATATTCCTCATATTGCTATTGAATATTGAGTGCGGTGTGGGCTAAGTGACCACCTCCCTCTCCCCTGCCCTCCACCACTTGGGGGTGAGAAACCAGGACATGGGTTGCTGAGAAGGCTTTCAGGGTTTGGGCAGGGGTTGGGAGTGTCTGTGTAGCTGGGATGATCAAGCTGGTGGGAATACCAGACGAGACCTATAATGATAAAAGCTAACACCCAGCACACACCAGGTGCCAGGCGCTTGCTCTTCCAGGCTCTTGACATATGCTAACTCAGTGATTCCTCACCACAACCCTTGGAGGTGGGGGTAGTATCGGCCTCACTCAACAGATAAGGAACCTGAGGTTCAGAGAGGTTAAGTAATGTGCCCAAGATCAGAGAGATAATAAGGGGCAGAGCTGGGATTTGAGCCCCGGGAAGCCTGGCTCCAGCTGTCCCCTAGAACCACATACTACATACCACAACACAGGAAGTGTGCTCTGGGCAAATGTTTGCAAAGAGATGGAAACTTCTCTTTCTTCCCCGCACAGAAGTGGGCTCTGGGAATAAGAGAGGGGGTTCTGGGTGAAGATGATGGCAGGAGGAATAACATGGTCGTGTCAGCTGTCAGGATGTTAGGAGAGGTTGCCCCAAGGAGAAGAAATACCGGGTACAATGCTTGGCTCATGGTCAAGGGCAGTCACACTGCACTGGGCCCCAAGCTGGTGTCCAGAAATCTGGTCTCTAGGGTTGGCTCTGTCACCGTGTTGCTGAGTGACCTTGGTCTGATGTTCTCTGCCTCCAGCCTCAGTTTCCCGGCCTTATAATGAAGGGATTTTCTAAGGCCACAGACTCTGGTTCCTGGAGACAGGGGTGGGATTCCCCCATGCTGTTGAGATGCTAATGGCTAGCAGGATGCAGTGCAAGGTGCTGGATCAGCAGTGGGTTCTCTCAAGGTTTCAGGACTTGGGTGGCTGGGGAGGCCTTGGAGCCCCAGCTGCTGGGCAGACAACAGAGCTCAGGTACCTGACAGCACCAAGCTGACATTTGGGCAGATGTGCGAGTCCTTCCCTGCCTCTCTGGGGGTTTCCTGGACCCAAGTCCACCTCCCAAGCCCGGATGTCTCAGAGAGGATGGGAGAATCAGGCCAGGACTGGCCTCCGACACACGCAGGTTCAAGTCCTGGTCAAGTCGCTCGCCCCCTCTAGGACTTTGCCCTCTCTCAGTCCCTGGTTTCCTTGATACAAAAGGGAACGATGATTTCTACCTTGCCGTTTAAGGATTAAGTGCTTCATAGGAGAATAATGAGAAAACAACGATGAACAACCAACTAGGCTGCAGGCTGAACACCGTATCTGCTGTTTACCTCCTTAATCCTTCCAGCAACCCTAAGAAGAGGGCTCTCTTAGCCTTCCTCTTACAGACGAAGAGACAAATTCAGGGAGGTGATGTAACTTGTTCAAGGTAATACGGTTTGTGGGTTAGCAGAGGCAGGACTGAAGTTCAGGTGCTTCTGGCCCTCAAGCCTGCATTCTTAGTCACCACACCATCAGCTACAGCCTAGCTGGAACTGGTCCCTCCTTTCCCAACCCCTCACCCCATCCTGCCAGCCCCACCATCTCACTACCCTGGCTGGGAGTCAGGAGCCCTAGGCTCTAGCACTAGTTTGCCGGGTGACCTTGAGCAAGGACATGGATAGAGGGGAAATTAGCCAAGGACCAGGGATTACTACGTCTAGACCAGAGAAAATCTAGACTTCCTGCAAGACAAACGGGGAGATTTACATCAAGGCCTTCCTCCCCTCCCTGATTCCTGAGCCTCTGACCTGAGCAGGTTGATCAGCCTCCCAATTCTCGGACCCATTCAGCACATGGGAAATTCCAGGGTTGGTCCCCTCCCTCGACTCTGCTGACCAAAACTTCCCAGAAAGCTGACTGACAGAAACCAGAGAACTGTGCCCTACCAGCACCCTCTGCCTCAATACTTCAACTGCTGACAAGTCTCTGACTAAGCCAGGCTCCCTCAGACCTCCAAGTCTTTGCACAGGCTATGTATGCCTTCTTTCTCATCAGCCCAATGAACTCCTACTCATACATCAAAACCCTGCTCAGGTGTGTTCTCCTCCCCAAACCAGCCAACAGATACCATTTACTGAATGCATACTCACTGCTAGGTGCTGACCTGTGAAGCTTTTCATGTACCAGAGCATCTCTGATACTCTGGGGGGGGGCCCCAAATGGCAGAGGCTGGATCTTACTTGCCTCTGCCTCTCCAGCATCACACCCATGAGGGGCTAGGAATTGAATGGCTGAACAAAAGTCCTTCCCAGCTTCATATACCCCTAAGGCACAGATCCTTAGCCACATTAACCAGCATTTACTCAGTTTGAGAAAGTAGCTTTCATTCATTCATTCATTCATTCATTCAATATGAACAGTTTATGAACAACGTGTGTACTAGGTGCTGGATATAACAGTGAGCAAAACAAACATGGTCTGATAGGAAATATATACATTAATTGCATAATCAAACAAATACATGCATAATTAAGTGTTGTGAAGGAAAGCTGTGGGGACGTTGGAGGGCACGTGACAGAGACGAATGGCCATATTCAGGGGGATCTGTCTAAGCCTGGTGCGGTCAGGCCAGCTTCTCAGGACATGTGGCATTTGAGTGGAGACCTGAGTGTCAGTATAAAGTAAACAGCAGAAGGAGCAGGACTGACCTGTTCAGGGGGAGGAAATAACCCAGGCTAAGGGAAGGGGTGGTGGCAGGAGCAGGGCACTGTGAGAACCATCAGAAGAGCCCTGGGCCTGAAACTCAAGAGGAATGTGGCAGGTGGTAAGGCTACAGGGGAGCCAGATCTTTGTAGGCAACCCAGTGAAATTTGGACTTGACCTCAAGCGCATGGGAAGCTATTGAAGAATTTTAAGCAGAGTGGGGACAGTATGTGTGTGACACGATCAGATTTGCAAACTTGTTTCTACATTCTAGATGCATCCAGCTAAAAGATGGCCTGGGTTTACCTACTAGCTCTCTCTGCTCTGAGATGCACAGGGGAGGGGGACTGGAGGAGGCCGTGGGGCAGGGGCGGCCCACGGAGCGCGCCACCCTGCTGTCTGCGCCCGGCCAAGCGCGGGCTGGGGAGGAGGCACCAGGGACCGGGACTTGGGGAGTGGGGGGGGGCGGGTCCCTAGCGTCTCCAGGTGGGTGTCTCCGGGGTCCTGGGCGCGGGGCAGCGGGTGCGGGGGCCCACTTTACCTTGCCCACGTACAGGGGCTCGGTGCCCGTGTACTCCTCCACCACGAAGAACTGGTTCCACACCCAGCCGCGCTTCACGCGGCCCGCGCCCGGCGCGCCGTCCTGCCGAGCCCCGGGTGCCGCCGGCGCGGGGGTGCCCGCCGCCCACAGACGTCCCGGCAGCGGCGGCGGCGGCGGCAGCAGCAGCAGCAACAGCAGCAGCGCGGGCGATAGAGCGACTCCCGCCCGGAGCCCCTGACCGTCGGGCCGTGGCCTCATGCTTGGCCTGCGCCGGGCCGGGGCCCAGGAGCCTGGACGGGAGGCACCGGGGCGTCGCCGCTCGGTGGCACGACGGAGCGGCGCGGCATCACATGGTTGGCCTCAGCGCGGCCGCCGGGGCGCCGCCCCCCACCCCCCGCCCCCCCCCCGACGGAGCACCCGGACAGGCCCGCGGCCCTGCGCGCCGCCCAGCGGCGGGGGCGCCCGGCTGCAGGGGGAGGGGGCGCGGCCGCACCCGGGGCATGGACGGCCCCCCGGGGGTCCCCGCCCGCGCCCCCCTCGCTGCCGCCGCGGCCGGATCACCAGGCGGCGCCTCCGCGGCTCCCGAGGCCGGTGTGCGCCATGGTCCCCGCGCGGAGGGGTGCTGGTTGGGGCTCGGCGGATCCCTGGAGGGCCAGGGGCCGTCCCGACCCGGGCCCGGAGCCTGCGGGAGAAACAAGAGAACATAAGAGGAGGAGCCTTGTGGGGGCAGGGCAGGTTGAGTCGACCTCTCCTCAGTTTTTAGGTACCAATTAAACAACTGCTGTGACCCCTAGTGGTCCCTGCCTTCTTGCCCCCCTTGCCCCCATCCCCTACCCCCACCCCCACCCCCACCCCCCCATCCCCCACCCCCCATCCCCCACCCCCCATCCCCCACCCCCCCATCCCCCACCCC